AAGAATGAAATTATGCTGAGATGCAAACTAAAATATTTCAGGTCTCATGGTATGAAACTCTATCATTTCAAACAAGCAGTTACAAAAATTCTAAGCTCTGTTGAATTATTTATTTTTATTTACAGTAGTTCTTATTTTATTAAGAAGCAGAGTGGCACCCAACCTCCAAATATTAGATGAAATATCTGGGGAGAATACATACCAGGATATCACATTTTTAGGCAATATGTGAATCACGTTCTATGCATATCTGGTATCTGAAGCTTAATATTCTCTTCAGTCAATATTTAAATGTATTTCAACAAATCTTTATATCAAATTATTACTATATTGAATATAATACCACAGGCATGGTATTGGAAATAAGTGAAAGAAATAGCTCCTACCCTCAAGAAGTTTATAATCTAGTGGAATTAACTTCAAATAATTATACTGGCAGAAATAAGTCAGTGTCAATTGCTAGCTACATGAGTGAGACATTTTGGACCTGATTCAGATGAAAATTTGTGGCCAGTGTTACAATGGGATGAGACTTTGGGAGTCTTGTGTGCACATGGGTGGTATGTGAGTTGCGGTAGCCAGTGGGTGAATGGTGACAGGTAGTCTCCAAAGAGGAATGCCATCATTCCTTTTGCTTCCTATACATACATGCTCCTCACATCAAGAAATGGAGAATAATTCTGTTCCCCTTGGATACTAGCTAAATTTAGTGCTTGTTTGACCAATAGAATGTAGAGTAAATGACCTTCTATAACTTCCAAGGCTTGGTCCTAAGAAGCCTTGCTGTTTCCACCCAGAATACTCCCAGGTGTCCCAACTCTTGGGACTCTCATTCTTAAGAACTCCTTCTTCAAATCAGCCACTATGGTTAGGGAAGTGCAAGTCATATGGAGAGACCATGTGTAAGCAATGGCAGTTGACAGCCTCAACTGAACCTTCAGCCAATGGGCAGCAGTAACTTCCAGCAAAGTGAGGGAACCCTCTTGGACACTCAGTTCAGTCAAGCCTTTGTGGAACTCTAGTCTGACCTACAACTGAATATAATGGTATGAGAAACCCCAAGAAAGAACTTCCCAGCATTTGTACAGAATCATAAGAGATATAATAAGTTACACTTAAGACACTAAGTTTTGGGGTAGTTTGTTTTGCAACAGACTACTAAAACATTTGACTATCAGGTCAGACTTTCCTCAGTAAGCAATAAGAATTCCCTGGAGAATGTTGACATCAGATGCAACTTTCTCAGAGCTCTGCTTTGGGTAGTTTCCTATGATAACTACATGTAATAAGTTAAGGGCATAGAGAAATTGAAGATAAAAGGGCAAGAAATTAAGCAAAGCATAAAGGATGGCTTAGTACCAGACAGTAATAGGAAAAGAGGATGGATATCAGAGATGAGAAAAGGTAAAATCCAAAGACTCTCCGATTGGTGAAACAAAGAATAATAAAAGGTAGAAGTCAAAGTGGGTTCTAGGGTTTCAGAACTCAGACAACTAAAAAGAACATGATGACAGTAATCAAGATTAGAATCCAAAAGGAGGGCCGGCCTGGTCGCGCACTCGGTAGAGTGTGGCGCTTGGGAGCACGGCGGCGCTCCCGCAGAGGGTTCGGATCCCATATAGAGACCGGTCGGCTCACTGGTTGAGCGCGGTGCGGGTGCGACACTGAGGGTTGCAATCCCGTTACCGGTCACAAAAAAAAAAAAAAAGAATCCAAAAGGAAAGCATGCATGGACGAAACCAGAGGAAATTAAATTAAAGGTGTCAGGAGGTCATCCAGGGAAAGCCATTCAATAAGCAAATGTCAATAGGGGTATTAAAGGCCTTTTCCAGAATTAAGCACTTTTTAAATCCAGCTGACATTCTGAAGTCACCCAAGCTCAGAAAACATTGACTTCTCTGTGTCTACACATTGTTAAGTTTGTTTTCATGTTAATCCCTCTTATTTTTGGCAAAAGAGAGAGAAAGAAGATTACTTAGCAAATTAAAAGCATTTAAAGGTATATTTGTAATAGTTCTGTAATAGTGGTTTGAATAAACTACTCTCAAGCTAAAAAAGATTCTACTTTAAGGATTAAGTTTTCAGATATGTAGGGGTTATCTCAATATAATTTTGATTACATACTTGGTGGAATTTTGAATTAATTATCCACCTTAAACAAAAAGTTCCTTTACAACTTGTCAAACCATGTGGCTTCCTGGCATACAAAGCTGATTCCTGCCTTGCCTGAACAGAAGGAATACTGAAAAAGCAGGCTAAATTCTCTTCACCTGTCTCAGACTTTTTACATTACAATATAAGTGTCTTCCAACTCCCTAATTTTACAAGTATTTTTATTGTTTCTTTCTTTAGGAAACTGTGAATATAGAGAAACATCTTCTCACATTTAAGGATTACTTAAGACTAGACAATTTATGACTTGTTCAGGGTGCCCTAACATTAACTCTTACTTGTATCTGTGTTCTAAACAAAAACTATGAACTCACACACTAAATAGCTCACATAACCTCGACAACTAAATGAGGTACCTCAACATGTATTAATGTCACTTTCAGCAGATTATGGGCTACTTTTTAAATACTCACAAACTAAATTTTCTTAGGTTATAGCTACAATTAATAATGCCAACAGCACGGTCAAATTCATTTACATGTATTACACCCTATGGATTTAGATCAGTATTTCTCAACCATTTTTACATTATCACCTCCCTAAGAACTCTTTTTAGACATTTATTTCCTAATCACCTCACACACAATGTTAATACCACATATAAACTAATTATCTGTTATGTACAATATCTGTGCTTTATGTATTAACAAGAATAATTTTTTTTTAAATCCCCCAGGAACCAATTTTCACCATACTGGGGAGGATATCTCCCTCACTGAAAATGCATGGTTTCATTAGATTACTAATGTGTTATTCCAATAGGAACTATGCTTATAAATACAATAAAGTTAAGCCATAGAGCAACATAGAAAACTCATGAAAAATATGAGAAAGACTCATAGCAACACTTCTACGATTTCCAATTTAAAGACTGAGAAGTGTAATTATCTAACTTTCAGGGCCGGCAGTATGAAACTATCACATTCTTTCATTTTAAAGGCCACTATCATTCCACCATTCTTCACTGATTTTACTGAGAGATAAGTAACTAAGAGAATTTGTAGTTAACAAGTAAGTATGTAGATTTTAAAACCAAAAATATAAGTAGATCTTTTCATGAAGTTCAAAAGTACAAAACAGATAATAAACATAAAAATAACCTAACTATGGAAATATTAACACTGACATTTGATAGAAAAAACTGTAAAGAAATAATAGTAAGATGAAGAACACTATTTAAATACAAACTGTTTACAGAAGTACCAAAAAATAATCATTTTACTAACAACCTCAAAAATTCCATTTATGTTTATCTATAATTAAAATTCCTCAGTACTGCAGCTCAAATATATTTTTCTGTTTTATAAATACACCTGTATCTCTTAACTTTCTTCCTCTAGTATAAGTAAGGCTAACTATCAACTATGGCTTGCTAAGGCTGGGACAGTAAAGTTAGGAGAGAAACCAAAGGGATCATCTTTTTCTCTGACCCATTATGGTCCCAGCCCCACCTCATCCCACCCACCCTAATACACACCAACAGGGAGACTAATGAGGTGGGGATGGAACACGAATCACCTAGCAAGTGAATGTTATTCTTACAATGAGCAAAAACAAAGATCTTCCCACACCCACAAAAATATAAAAAGAAAAAAAAGTTAACAGATGAGAGCGTTAGACCTAAAGCCAAATACATTTACTGATGCCACAGCTTATCAGGGACACAATATTTAAAGAACAAGCATGTAATCCCAAATGCATTAAAACATTACTTATTTTAAGACAAACATTTGATAATTGTATAATTGATATTTCTTTCGGTGTCATTAGCCTTTCATTCTAACTATGACCTGACAATCTGAAAGGTCTGAAGACTTCAGCAATGCTACTGAGAACTTTATTATCACTAAAAAACACTTAGCTTCTTGTTTTAAGGTATAAGCTGTATATGTCTTAAGTCTCTACTTACTGAAGCAATTTACACAGTTAAGGATTTAGTCTACACTCAATCAAAATCTCACCTCAACTAGCAATTGTAAATTTTCTATTATACTTTGATTCCATTTATTTTGTAATAATTTTAATAAAGTATACTTGGTTAAAATCATGAATTAATCATTAAAATTATTCTTTTATCCTACAATTTGTTTGAGGTGATATTAAATTTCTCAATTTAGACAGTAAAAAATTGTATTACAAAACTACACCATGTGCCTGGGTCTACTGGGTAATGATCAATAGATATCTGGTTATTAAAAACAGACTTCTAGATGATTAAAGAATTACCTATAAAAACATAAACCACTTCTTTGTAAATGAGAGACAGCCACCAATTAAATGCCCTGGTTTTAGGTCAATGAACACTCTTCCCATTTACTTTTACACAAATTACTAGTGCTAAAACAAGGTAGTTTAACCATTCAAAAGACAGTTTTCTAGTGAACAATTTACAGTAGGAAGCCTGATCTTCTAATAGTAATAAAGTTTCAACTTTCATTTTAAAAAAAGGACCAGGGATTAATGAAAACAAGGTAACTAAATGAAAGATTAGTCAAAAAAGGATATAATAAAAAAATAATCAATATTACAAAGATAGAATTTTTTATCATAAGCTACATATTTATCATCCCATACTTCACATCTATGAGAAATACTGTTATCATAGTTTATTCAGTAATCAATGTACCAAGCACTGGGTTAGATATTCACATAGATCATGACACAGTCTTGGAAGAAAATCCATTTTTTTCAGAAAAATTTTTTAAATTAATCAATTAATTAAATGAAATATTGCCTCAGAATATACCCTGACTAAAGACCAGAACCATGAAAACCAAAAAAGTTAAGCCAGAGAAGTGGTAAAGATTTATGAGAAATTATAAATTTACCTTGGCTTCGCACTCAGCTTTATTATATTTTTGTGTGGCAGAGAATCTTGTGATTTTTGTTTCAAATCCTATAAAAATGAACAATAATTTTTTATTTTACTTTTAAAACTTAAGTTTCAAAATTAGCTATGCAATATTACCTTGCAAAAATCTTGAAAAGGGCATAATAAGGAAAATAAAGTCCTTTTTACAACTATATAAAGTCCATCAAAATTCAAAACAAACAATCCTTGTTTACGTGTGTGCACACACACGTGTGTTCATGCTTCAAGTACAACATACCTTACAGGGGCTAGAGTCCATAATAGGTAATTTTCCATTTAGGAACCAAATAAATCAGAGTTCTAGAGACAATTTTGCAAAAAGCTTTACTACTTTACTTTTGTATCATGTTTCATATCCTTAAGAAATATGTGTCTATTTCTTGCATTTTTTATAATAATATGAAAATATATAATCATGAATTCATCACAATCATCAGTACATGAAAATATTGAAGCTATATGATACCAGATGTGTAAATTCAAATTACGTATAGAATTCCAAAGCCCATCATTCATAATAGATTCTAATGATAAATAAATAACAATTTTAAAACATCTGAGTTGCCAAGCAGAAGTGTAATGAGAGTTACAGTGAACCATTTTCTCAACTGTCTTCCTTGCTGCAGGACAGCATGTTCTACCTTTCAAAGAACTGTTTTATTAGATCTTCTGACCCTACAACAGCATAAGGTAAGGCAGATATTATCACCCCATTTCACAGATAAATGAATGAGGGCTCAAAGATGTTAACTAACTTTTTCAAGGCCCATACAATCAGGTACAGGGCTGAGGCTAGTTCCTTAACTGCTGCTCTATTGTTACTCATATTTCAGCACTGCCCATAGCACTCCATGGACTCATCCTGAAACCAGAAGACCATTCAAATTCAAGGTTAGCAAGAACAGATTAAGGACTTAACAAAAACTCAAATATGAAGGGGTTTCTAATGAAAGCCAAACTACAATAACTAATTATAATGTCCAGTTGCCCTACAATGTCATCTTAATAGTGTTCTAAAATATATTTCATATACCTTGAAATAAGTTCATTGTTCTATTTTTCATATCTACATTTAGTCAGAACAAAATACAGATCAGAAATCAAATACAAACACACTTATAGGAAAGAACATACAGGTAATTTATATAAAGAGTTACAAATTACTTCAAATAATGTACAGAGAAATATTATATTTAAATGTCTCTTTTCATTAAGCTTCTCATACCCTTCACTAATCCAAGCAAAAGAATCACACATTCTTATGATGAATATAGAGGAGATCAACTAACCATCTCTAGGATGTTATCAGAAGAGTAAGCATTGTATGTGTGTTTGTCTTTCAAAATAAGAAGAAATGCAGAATCTCCAATTATCTTCTCCAAAACCATCAATGAATGAAAGAGTCTGTAAACCAAAAACTGTATTAGTCTGAGAAGTAATTTAAAAATCTGCATACAATATTTTGTGTCTTTATTAATGGCCAAACCACCAGTATCTTGATCTTGTATTCACAAAGTGACACGTTTAATAAATCTATAATGAACTGGCTCTTTTTACCCCAGAACTAAGTCCTTAGGGGGGAAAAAAAAAAAAAAAAAAGGTTAATCAGAAGATACCACTGATAAGGGCTCATTTAAAATTAAAAACTTTCTGTACATACCTGAAACCCGAGAACTTACTACTTATACTTTGTATGAATATTGTACCAAACAATGAGAACATCCAGTATGATCACCCCAATAGCTTTAAGGCATTCTAATCAAACAGCAATGATTTGCTACTTTACTTTAGAAAAAACTTTAACCAGGGTTGAAATAACAGCAAAAGAAAACATGAGATTAACTCTTGGTTCACAAAAAAATTCAATCAGTATACAAGCCATTCCCCCAAAATTAAAATAGGTATTTTCTTGAATTTAGTTTTATGTTCTTGTTCAAAAAAACTAGAAAAAAAGAGTGTTTCACAGATCTGAACAATGAAATTGTCTTCATCCTTGTTACTTTTCTTGGTCACTGAAATTTCTAACTGTATTCAAATTGTATTTTTATATCTAAGGAACGAAAAAGATGTTTAAGATTCTACTGATTCAAGATCAATTCTGAATATAACCTCACATCACCAGCTATTGCTGAAGCAATACTCATGAGAAAAGAACCTGCTTGAAGTTTTTTTCAAATTCAATCACATTTAGGGTTTTACAGACCAGGCATCCCTAAGTAAACTCATATTGGAGAAATCTGTAGAGAATCCTCACTATTCATGTTTTCAATCAACCATAAGAATGAATCTATTACGTTTATAAAGTGATTACATTATTTTCTGCAATACAGGAAGCAACTTTGGATCTATGCCTTAAAGATATTTTTGTTGTCATGCAACAACAAAAAATCTGTAAGAAAATTAGAAATAGCTTCTTTTTGCAGAGCATTGAAGTTTCCTTCAAAGATATGAGTGATCATGATCAATAAGTTATTAATTAAACACATTTACATAGTAAATCTATAACTTTAATTCTAAGATCTTATGGATTTTAGTTCATGCCATCATTCAATTAAATATTTCAATATACTGAAATATTTCCCTAGATAGTACTAAGCATCCTCACCAGACTAAATAATCATATAACCAAACTAAAAGAACATAAGAATTAATACAGTTCTGTTATGGAAATAAGGCCCTCAATATAAGTTTATTTCTATTATCTACATGACTATCTTTATTAGACAGACTGAACCTGCAGAATAAAAGTCATGTTCTCCACCAGCTAAAACCATATACATCTTACAGTGTAATAAAGAGTCCTAATTAAACTGAGAGAAAACCAAGAAACAATGTTTGCATCCTAAAGGCACACACACAGCCTTCTAATGAGATGAGCACTATAAGACTATAACACAACATTCCCCAAACACTTTCTCAGGATGTATAAAGCTGTTCTGTTTAAAACAGAACAAAATGTAATATGGTAAATAGGTTTAAGAAACACTGGGTAAAGTAAATTTTAAATGTTTCAACATTTTGTTAATATGGGATCTTTCAGACTCTCTAATATTTTAACATGCACTTATCCTATTAATACAGAACACAGTTCATGTCTGTCATTCAATAGTTTGATTTCTATCTTAGGAATCTCATACTCATCTTTTGTTCAGTTTTCTCCTCCCAACCTAATTACAAGTTAGGAATAATTGGCACAATTCTAAAACATGTCTGTAATTAACCTCATCACCATTTCTTCTTCCCTTCCACTTAAGCCCCATTATCTACTTTTAAGGTAAACATCCATTATGAACACTGTCCCACTCTAATTCACTTTTCATGTCATGATTAGAGTTAACCAAATAAGCCATGATGTATTATTCTTGCTCTCCAGTTTACAATTACATTAACATCCAATCTATTGTTGTGAGCACAACTCTTGAGTCACCCTAGGACGGCAGAGGAGAAAGCTAGAAGGACCTGGATCCCTGATGACATTGTGGAGCTGTCATACCTGAACTGGATACCTGCAGATTTCTTTCACATGACATAAAAATAAGCAGGACAGGATTTTTTTCTGTTTCAGGTTGCTATTACTCACAGCTAAATGCAATACCTAACTCATACACTTGTTCACAGGGACATTTCTGCCAACATCTGAATGAACCAGTACACAACAATCCAAGCACAGAGAACACCAATGCTAGCTGCCTCTTTGTTTATAATTCTCTAACTTGTGTTTTGAATTTCCTCCTTAAAATGTCTGTGCTAATGACTTGATAATAGTTTACGACTTCTCAATGAAGTGTGAAGTTCTCGCAAACCAAATTTACAAATGTCAAGTACAATTTGAGAATCACTGTCTTTTTTTCTCTAACATGCAATTCTGTATAGGGATTTTTTTTTTTTTGTCTTTTGTCTTTTTCTGTGTCCGGCAACGGATCGCAACCCTCAGTGTTGCCCCCGTACCGGACCGGGGACCGGCAACGGGATTGCAACCCTTGGTGTTGCTCCCACGCCTCGCTCAGCCAGTGAGCGGGAACCGGTCTGCATGTGGGATCCAAACCCTCGGGCAGGAGCGCCGCCTGCGCTTCCCAAGCGGCGCACTATCCAGTGCGCCACCGGGCCGGCCCTATAGGGATGTTTTTATAAGCTAAAAAGCAATACAAAACTTAAGGAGAAACTAATGACAGGCCTTCAGGAAAGGTCATGAGACAGAAAATGTTCTGTAGCAAAATCTCAATGACCAGCACTCAAATCACTTACAATGTAACAGCCAGAAAGAACAAGCAGGCAGTGCAGGAGAATGACTTCTCTATGTCCTCTCAGGAGCTTTGCTCTGCTCTCATTCTAAGCAGCTTCACTTTTAAACTCTCAATAAACCAAGAAAGTAGGAGCAGGTGAAAAAGATCTGACCTTACTTTCAAAAATACTTTCTGTGGGAGATTATCAACATCATTACCATTTAATGAGTGTTTTCTACTTTAAGCCCAGCTCAATCTCAATAGACAGATGCCAAATAAATTTGCCACAAGAAAATTCAGAAGATATTCAAGATATTACCTTGAATATATTTTTTAAAGACTCAAGTCAACTGATAAAACTTCAAGAATGTCCTTTTCTTCTAATTTTTAGAAAGTCAAAATATTATAACTAAAAATTTAACACTTACTACAATTAGTAATATCAGTTGTGGGTTAACTTTAAATGTTGACTTTATGTGCTGTTTACACTTTTCACATACAGGAGCAGTTACATTAAAGAAATTCACTTTTTAAATCTATATTGTAAGAAAATCACAGTATATTTTAAGTGATTTTAAAATATTATCAAAGCATAATACCATTGTTGATAGAAAAAAAAAATCTGAGAGAATAGTCTAAACTATAGTAAAAAAAAAAAAACCCAAAACTTTTTTTTTTGTCTTTTTTCCGTGTCTGGCAACGGATCGCAACCCTCAGTGTTGCCCCCGTACCGGACCAGGGACCGGCAACGGGATCGCAACACTCGGCGTTGCTCCCACGCCTCGCTCAGCCAGTGAGCGGGAACCGGTCTGTATGTGGGATCCGAACCCTCGGGTGGGAGCGCCGCCGCGCTTCCCAAGCGGCGCACTATCCAGTGCACCACCGGGCCGGCCCCAAAAAACCCAAAACTTTTGATGTCAATACCCAGGCCATCCTTTTCCATTCCCAGTTGCTTATAACATCCTTAGGTGACAAGGTTTCTAGGTCCTTCTCCTTCCTGGCTATGATTCTCAGCTTATTCTTTTTTGTCATTGTTCTTCTTAAAAAAAAAAAAAGGAGAAGAAGTTCCAAGAACAACTGGATATGAAATAGGAAGAGATTAAACTGATATAATGAAGTAGTGCTCTTTATCTCCCTGAAATACAACTATGATTTATTTGATGCCAAATCCCTTGCTAAGAAGATAAAGATAACCCCAATTAACATACAGTATTTAGGAGAAAATAGGATCAGCTTTATAATAATGTTTTAGTACACGATCTGAAGAATTATGCTGCAATAAGAAGTTGGGGCAGTGAGAACTCTGTCAACAGATTTCTTAAAAAAATGCTTTGAAAACTGGTGATATTTTGCTATAGCAATACTTAGGCAATATATCATTATTAATGTGGTCTAATAAGCACTAAAAACTTCATCAAAAGATATAACATTATGATTCAAAATTTTTAAATATTGTAAATATGATTCAATATTTAAAAATAGTTAAAGATCATTTTTCTATAATTACATTACCTTGTACCATAATCCACAACCACCCAATCTTTGGCGGTTCCTGTTATAGCATCATGATGTTGGAACAATCCCAAATTCCTTCTGGCTTCTGTCAATGTCGTGTAATGTGACGATGAAAGAAATTTATTTATCTTGTATTTCTGAGCTTGTTTCAGGGCGAAATAGTAAAGAATTTCAGCAGCCCTAATTGCATAAAACCATCATTAATTTTGATTTCAAAACAAATATTTTATTTTATAATCTAAAATATGTAACATTGAGACTTTTTAAACATGACTTTTTAAAAATCTACAATTTCAGTATAATTTATAGAAAAGATACTGATAATAAACACTTCTATAAAACCACCAAGGTATTCATCTAATATATCTAAGTTCTCAATCACCAAATAACACCATGTCTATACATGCCTATACATGTTATAGACAGGGTATCAAGGGTCCTTGTTCTAGATGATCCTAGGAAGAAGCCAGTACCTGTTGGCACCAAGATGGGTTTATTTATGTATACCACAGTTAAAAACTATCTGAACACTGCAGTAAGAACTGGATACATGTCTCTGTCCTTTCCTTTCTCCAAAAGCAGCACAGACATAAACCATGAACATTACCAGAAAGCCATTTACTCTCACATGTACATTACAAGGAGAGATGGTGGCGAAACACATGGTCATCTGAGTGCGACACTGGACAGAGATGAGAGGCAGAAAATGATGGCCCAATAATAGCTCACATGCAAGTGTTAATTTCAGTTTTGAATGATACCATATAACGAATATGGAGAATTTAACAATGTAAATTAAAACGATCAATAGGATGTCATTTCTCACTTATTTTAAGGAAAAAAAAAAATCTCTATAGTCTAAAAATAGCTTTTGAACAACAATATGGGGGTTAATGATTTCCACCTTTTATTTATTTATTTTTTTTGAAATACATGATTTATATAAAGCCTTTTTAAAGTGTACTCAGTCTACTAGTATATAAAAAAAGGTAGATGTGCTCTAAATTTTTTTTTTTTCATACTAAGATTCATCATGAAAATGAATTGCTCTACTGGACTACACATAGATAAAGCCTTGGGAGCCCTTGGGGTAGTTTAACTTTACCAAAGAACAATCAGACTCAGTTACTTAGAAAAGTAGTTTTCAATATGGTAGCCACTAGCCATAAGTGTCATTGACATTTAAATTAATTAAAATTAGATAAAATTAAGAATTCAGTTCTGCAGTCACAGGGTCAGATTTCAAGTGTTCGATCGTTACATGTGACTAACAGCTACCATACTGGGCAGTGCAAAAATAGAACATATCACCGTAGAAAGTTCTATTGGACAGCGACTGAAAGTTCTACTGGATTGCACTGGTAGAATGTTTCCGTGTTTTCTATTGACTTTTCTGTCTTCTCCATATCAGGTTCTTTATCAGTCAATCACTCTGTCCCATCCATTCTCATCTCTTTCAAATTTTCTTCTAAGCAAAAAAATCATAACTACAGAAATGGGCTTCAAATAAATGAATAAGAACTGAGATGGAGCCTCTAAAGTACTCCCACATATAAAATATATTCATTTTGGAGTGTGCACTTGAGGCCCCCATTTTGGTTGCTGAGAGGCTTTATTTGCTTCTTTGATACTTGTCTGTTTCCAACAATTCAGCCTAACAGATTACTGGCCTGTAGATACATGATGGTGTCACTGAATATTAATATGACGTGCAAAAAATACAGGTAAACTAATTAGAAAAATGCAAAACACAGAATACAACTCCTAGAAAATCTAATTAGATAAACTGCTTTTCTTTCCAGAACAAAAACCCATGTAATAATTTAATTATACTTTGGAGACATATTTTCTGATTACATTAAATTTTCACAATTATATTAAGCACTTCATAACACCACATAAATGATGTATATTATGCAAAACTCTATAAAAAGGCTATGATAACATAAAAGAAATGAATAAATAAATGTAGCTATCTAAAGACAAATGCACCTTAAATGAGATTCAATGATTCTATCCATTCGTTTGTAAAAGGGTCTGGATGTAAAGTAGCCACTCCAGTAATGATCATCTCGGTCAGCATAAGTGAAAAAATCTCCACTTAGAACAGGAAACACCAATTGGCTATTCTCTCTTCTAGTTATATCTGCTTCATTCAGAGCATCAAAATAATCTGATAAAGTTCCAAACTGTATCTGGTAAAAAATAAAATAAAATTTTTTTTTAAGTTACACTTCAATTCTTCATTTCTACCTTAAAATTATTTACTTCTTACCCTGGAAGGAAAAGTTAATAATAAATATTTAAGATGTGCTTCCAAGTTAAGATTTTACAAAAATCAAGAGCAGTGGGGGGAAGCATCAGTTATTCTCTTTTACTTGCATCAAGTCCCAAATTAAACTAAGGGAAAACTTGTACACCTAAGCAGTTAGGAGGAAACCTATTTAGATCTACACACTTGTGGATATGAAAACTCTTTACACATCTCTAGAATTTCAAAGTATGCAAGAATCTGGGCATGGAGTCATCCAAAAGAATGAAAGATAGGGTAGCAGCAGAAAGAAAAGACACATATTTTGAACAAAATGTTCCAAAAGAACAAGCTTTGTTATCCATGATGTATTTCATGTATCACACCCTCCCCAGACTTCCTTTCCCCCCAGTTGAGTTCTTATTAGGGAGAAGGGAAAGACTTTAAGAAAATCAGGTCAATAAAAAAATGAACTTTCTCTATTAGCAAGTAACACTGAGTAGAAGTAAAACACAAAAAGTGACAAGAATAGCAAAGTTGACTGCTCAAAGGTACAGGTCTTTCTGACTAATGATTTAAATTACTAGTACATAAATCCATTTTTATGAGTGCAAACTATTCTACAAATTAAAGGAAAAAAAGAAACATTATACCAGATTTTGTAAACAGATATTAACAGGCAGTCTTGTTAAAAATAGATTCTCCAACAGGGACTGTGTTCCTTTTAATAGAAAGATGCTGATTTTGTTGTGTTTCCTACCTTACAGGGTACTTCAAAAAGTCTGTAGAAAATGAGATTAAAAGATAATATGAATCTTTCCATGAACTCTTTGAAGACTCTCACACACATGCACACTCACGAATACTGCAAGTTATTTTGATTCAATGTAGCAATGAGATGAGTTTGAATCCTATCTCTAGTACCTATCTGATATGTGGTTTTGAGCATATTATATAATGTCTCTGTGTGTCTCTGTGTTACAGCAAATAGGATTCTAAGTAAAAGAACCGTGACTAGTAAATAATGGTACAGGTTGAGCATCCCTAATTAAAAAATCTGAAATCTAAAATACCCCAAAATACAAAACATTTTGAGTGCTAACAGTATGCTCAAAGGTCATGCTCAAAGAAGTGCTCATTTGAGCATTTTGCATTTTGGATTTTCAGATTAGGGATGCTCAACTGATACAATGCAAATATTCCCAAATCCAAAAAAGTCCAAAATCTGAAACACTTCTGGTACCAAGCATTTCAGATAGGAAATACTCAACCTATATAAGTTTTAGCTAATATTTCTCCATTGCAAAGGCATAATTTCAAGTGGAAACACAACAATGATATTAGTAAGTCAAATACAAGTTACTGCAATCTAATTGTGCTACAATAAGCTTTGTTATAGCAAAATAGATGATTATTTCTAAATCCTTATGTTTATATTAAAGATAAGCAATTTTCAACTGTATTATCTATTTTTATCTTGGCTTCATCAAATACAGTGTGATCTGGGGCAAGTTGATCTCATCTATAAGGGGAAATAATCATGGTACCTACCAGAAAACGTTTGGAGAATTAAATAAGTTAAATAAAGTAAACCACTTCAATAGTTAATGACAAATAATAATCAATCAGTACATTTTAATTAATAATATCAGTATTATTACTCACTCAGTATCATTACTAGAAAACAGAATATATGTGTGTCTGTGTGTTTGCAACCATATAAAAAATGAAGGTCACAAATAGAAGGAAATATGGCATTAACCTCATACTTAGCAGGTAAAGATGAATTCAGGGAAGTATACATAATAACAGTAGCAAAATATTCAATGATTTAAATGTTTCTGCGTCTTACTTTCCTCACCTCTATAATAAGAGGTTTTATTTAGATAACAAATATCCCTTTGAGTTTCAAAATTTAAGAATCTATGCTACAGAGTTAATATTAACAACGGAGCATATCCTTTTAAATTATTTCAATTAATTTTTGGTATGAGCCAGGATGAAAATATTTTCTTCTTGGCAGTTCCCCAGAGCAAAGTTTAGATAAGTGGCCTACTAGGCTTTCTCACAAACTTAATTCAATCTTTAAGAATTGAAGAACAATCTTCTATCTGTGCTAGAGTCAAGAGTAATTACTTAAAGTAAATTTTTCTAGGAAGTCTCTTGGTAGCTCACATAAAGTAAATATTTGGAACACCTAAAAAGATAACCATATAAAAATATTTAAATGTTTTTTTACATTAAAAGGCAACAAATTCAATCTTAAACATAAGACATATCTATCAAGACAACGAACAGGAAAAATTACATAAACTGTTAAATAAGTGATGATCAATAGCAAACTAGCTGCCTTAGCTAGTCAAATGTCAATTTTTTAGCTACTTAAACTCAATTATTTACTTCTGTTTTCTCTTTTATTAAAGGAAAATAATAAATTTATGCTTTCAGTTTAGACAATGTAACTTAAAAGTTCCCACAGAAAACAGATATAAATAGATAAATCATACAGAGAAAAAAAAAATTGTTTTCAGTTATTAAAGAGCAACCAAAGCAGCCAGATTTAAGAAACAAAAATCCTTAAGAGAAAGGAAATATATCAAGGTGAACCCTACACTCTATCAAATTTTCATCTTGCGGAACTTGTCCAGTCATTGCACAAGACATAAAGTCCGAATAAAACAAAGTACCCCAGAAGAAGCAATTGGTAAAATTCAGCAACTGGTCATAAAAACACACTCTGCAAATTAGGAATAAAAGGAAAATTCTTTAATCTAATAAAGGAAATCCATAAAATTCTACAACAAACATCACAACTGATGATGAAATACTGAATGTTTTCTCCTTTACAAAAAAGTATGTCCACTCTCACCACTTCTATTCAACATTATACTGGAAGATATAGCCATTGCATAAGGCAAGAAAATAGACTGAAAGGTATAAAGTTTTGGAAAGAAAGACATAAATATGCCATTATTCATACATAGAAAATCCAAGAAGAATCCACAAATAACTATTAAAATTAATAAATAAATTTAACAAGGTTACTGGATGTAAGGTTAAAAGGTAATAGTCGACTATATTATTATACACAGAATGTACCATGTTCATGGATTAGATGGCCCAATATTTGTAAAAAAAAAAAAAAAAAAAAAAAACAAAAAGGAAATAGCCACTATAAACCACATCCTCTGTACTTGAAACTTTATCATTCCCTGTTTTGGTAAAAAAAAAAAAAAAATAAAGAAGTTCAATAGATTCCTCATCTTTTCATCAACATTTATTTTTTCATTCCATTTACTGGAAGGAAAATGGGCCAATTATCAAAAGCTGAAAATGCTTACTATCATTTTCTTCCTGTCTTCTCATTTTCAGAATGATTCAGAGGTGCTTATTAATAATATCTTCTTATTTTGAAAGATCCCAATCAAAACCCCAATTTTTTTTTTTTTTGGTAGAAACTAAAAAGTTTTCTTAAACCCACATAGAATTACAAAGGATGAAAAATAATGCAATATTGAGGAGAACAAAATTAGAAAATTTATACAATTGGATATTAAGACCTATTATAAAGCTGGACTAATCAAGACTGTGAGATTAGTCAAACAGACCAATTAAACTGAACAGAGTCTAGACACAGACCCACATGAATATAGTCTCACTTGTGATTAATAACAGAGATGATGCTACAGTGCAGTTGGGGGAAACTGTAATCTTTTCAGTAAGTAGTGCTGGATAGTCAAGTGGTCAAAACTGTATCTTGATCCCTACCTTCACACAATTCAGAGCAATCCATTCCACATAAATTATAGACCTAATTGTTGACAGTAAAACAATAAAGTTTCTAGAGAATAGTTTCATAAAAAACGTATTTTCATGACCATGGGGTAAATAAAAATTTCTTAAACAAAACATAACAAGCACTAACAATAAAGAAAAAATATTGTTATATTAGACTTAATTAAAATCAAGAATTTCTGTTCATTGAAAGACAGAAATTCTGAGAGTGAAAATGTAGGCTATACAGCAAGAGAGAATATTTGCATAAATTTTATCTGAAAAAAGGCTCAATCCAAAATATATAAAAGAACTAAAAATAATAAGGAAAAAACAGAACACTTAATTTAATAAAAAAATTATCAAAAGACTTAAATAGGCACTTCACAAAAGATGATACCCAAATGGCAATAAACTTTAGAAGACACTCAACCTTGTTAACCAATAGGGAAATACAAAAGAAAACTATCACATCTATCAAAGGGATAAACAAAAAAACTTCTGATAATACAAAGTCTGAGTAAAGGTGTGGGACAACTAATGCATCTATTCTGGAATACTGTTTGGCAGTATATACTAAAGTTAAATATGTACACACCCAATAACCAAAAAATTCCATCCCATTTCATACCCACTTAAACTCATATATGTGTGACCAAAACATGCACAAAGGGTTCAAAACAGCATTACTTGTATTAAACAAAAACTGGAAACAACCCAAATGTCCAACAGTACAATGAATAAATTGTGGTATATTCATCAAATGGATACTATACCGCTTTAAAAGGAATAAAGTATGGCTACATGCAACAATATGCATGAATCTCACAAACAAATATGTAACCAAAAAACCAGACACAAAAACATACACATTTATGATTCCCCTCACATAAAATTCAAGAACAGGCAACACTAATCATGGTGATAGAAGTGAAAACAGTGGTTACTTTGCATAAGCTGATGATGACTGGAGATCTGAGGGACTGTTCCAGGGTGCTATAAATGTTCTATGTCTTGATCTGGATGGTAGTTAAATGGAGGTTTTTAAAGTTGAAAAAAATTCTCTGTACACATTATGGTTTGTGTACTTCCCCTATGTATGTGAAACTTCAATTTTAAAAATTACTTAAAAAAATTTTTTTCTAATTATCAAACAAAGGAGGAAATAGGTAAAATACTAAAATCAGGATCTAATTTTTCCCAGTAAGGCAAAAGACCAGGCCTTTCTATGGACTCCAAAACCATTCCCAAGTAAGACATACTTAGAGATAAGATACCCACATACATACCACCTACTCTGGTCAAATATTCATTTATGAGCTTCATCTTTGAGGAGAATGCAGAGATAATTTAAACATAATCCTTCTGCTCAGAATTCATAATCTAGTAGAATTCAGTTGTAAACATCTTGAACAAACTGGATATTTTATTAAAGTTTATTTATCTATTTGATATTATCAAAGTTTATTAAATAAACTTGAATTCTTACTACATAAACAGTGGTCCATCAGCAGCTTTCTAATTTCGTACACAGTATCATCACTTCCTTTTTATAGTATTTTTACAGATCTTCTATTGTCTTACAGGTTAATATGTAAAGATAATACACATGTTGAAAAATTAATTTTCTTACACAGAGTCTCTAAGATGCATTAAAAAAAAAAGACTTTAAAAGACTTATTGACCAAATGCAATACAACTCTTGTTTGAATCTTGACACAAACAAAACACTTGTTAAATAATGTTTGTATGAGATCAGGAAAACCTGAATTTCTCCAGAGATATGATATTATTGAATTACTGTTAATTTCTTAGATGTGATAATGGTATTATGATTATTTTTTTAAACAGAATCTTTATTATTTAGAGATACATACTGAAATAGTTACAGTTGAAACTACTCATACATGACACTGGACACTTGGTCCAAAATAATCCGAGGATGAGAAGGCAGTGAGGGATAGCCAAAATCAGAGTGGCCATAAGTTGATGAATGTTGTAGCTGAGCCATGGATGAGGGAAGAAGGGGGCTGTTTGTGCTCTTCTCAAAAATTTATGTACATTTTAAATTTTCCACCAAGGGGAAAAAAAGAGTAAGAACCATAGGCAAGTGATTTTAGAAGTCTTTGCACTTAAGAAAAATGTTAGTGTATTCTCTGGACACGAGACATTTGTTTGCAAAATTCACGACATGATCATCAACATTTGCCAGTCACACTACTAAATCACAAGGATGCAACTGTCAGGAAGAAACCATAAACTTTCAATGCTGGTAGAAAAACAGGACATCTCTGAAAAATGAAAATCACAACTTAGTAGGTGTATATTTTCAATCACATAAAAGTAATGATTCTATAACCCTCAAGGAATGGTAAGAAAGGGACAACTTTAGAAAAAGAACTATAGGGCCGAGCCCGTGGCGCACTCGCGAGATAGCTGCGCTGGGAGCGCGGCGGCGTGGATGACCGGTGCGCTCATAGCGCTCAAGCGCGGTGCGGCCGGTCTCAAAAAGGAGAAAAAAAAAAAAAAGAAAGAAAGAAAAAGAACTATAGTACACAGTAATTTTCTTTTTGATGAATGATACTTTAACACAAGAATTACATATTTTCAGAAATACTGGATGGGAGCGCGGCGGCGTGGATGACCGGTGCGCTCATAGCGCTCAAGCGCGGTGCGGCCGGTCTCAAAAAGGAGAAAAAAAAAAAAAAAGAAAGAAAGAAAAAGAACTATAGTACACGGTAATTTTCTTTTTGATGAATGATACTTTAACACAAGAATTACATATTTTCAGAAATACTGGGATGCAGGACAAAGATACTAAGGATAAGGTGTTATAGCCTCATTTAACAATGGAGGCTCAACTTCAAATACAATATCATAAATAAACATTTTCACATTACCTTTACTCTAAACTCAGGTTTAGCATTCATATAATCAAAAAGCTGCTGATAATTCTTGAACTGTAAATCCCATTCTGTATGTTCAGAGTAGCGGAAATCATCTCCTAGTGGGGCCAGGAGAACTTTAGTACGAAAAAGCTTTGATTTCTTTCGGTACTGATCTAGAAGCATCTGAGCCCTATAAAGAAAAAAGGAAAATATGAGTTATATTAAGAAAAAGCCAACAGGGCAGCCTATTAAAAAGGAAATATCTAACTTCAAAAGTGTATTATAGGTATATTACAGGAAATTATTGTATTTTTAATCTACTTTCTAGATTAGTTTATAGGCAGATGTTTTTAAACTAAGCTGTAAAGTGTATGCCCCCCCCTGGCCCCCCCCCCCCCCCACTGAGGCCTAATCTCCACTGTAACTGTTGAGGGTGGGAAATCCCATTACGGTAATTGAAAGGTAAGGTCTTAAAGAGGTGATTAGATTGCAGGACCATGCTATAGTAAATGGATTAATGATGGAGGTCAGGGGAGTGTTTCTGAGGGCACTGAGAATGAACACAAAGAGTCTGTCCCTCTGCTCCACCATTTTCGCAACATGATACTCTGGTATCACTGTCGCAACCACCAAGACCTTTACCAGATGTTTACCCCGGACTTTGGACTTCCCAGCCTCAGAAACTGTAAAGAGTAAATTTCATTTTTTTTATAAATTACCCAGTTCCAAGTATTTTGTTATAAGCAACAGAAACGGACTAATACAAACTACCATACTAATTTTCATTATCCATTTAAAATATTGATAATTCTTAGCAGAGGAAAAAATATATAGTTTTCCAATGGATTATCCTTAGAGAAATACAGTCATATACCAACTGTGTCATATTATTACTGGGGTACTAATGACTTCCTGAAGCCCAGCCAGAGATTGGATCTCAGATAGCCCATGTTTTAAAATAACTTAGTCCAAGGAGATGATAGGATTTATCATCTGTATGAACTTTGATGTTTGCTTTGCTTTAATATTCCTTCCTCCAACTTAATCTAAAATTTGGCTGACTAAATGTAAAAAAAAAAAAAAAAGTGTACTTTGAATGAAACCAAAAGGAATGAATAAATTTTAACCTAAAACACTTTGTGGAACCATATTTCCTCTTCTAAAAGAAGAAAATAATTGACTTAATACCTGCTATCAATAATCTGAGTATTTGTCACAGTCCCCTTCTTAGTACTGATCACCAGATAAGGACTGTGAGTTGAATTAGCTATTTTGGTTTCTACCTCCCTGGGATCCAACCCATGACTCAAAAGGTCAGCTAAACACAATGTTCTGATGTGATGACATAGCTCTTACATATCCTATTCCACTATTCTGTAGAATATCCTTCAGAAAATGCTGAATTCGGGCACCGTTGGGGGAGTCTAGGAATACAAATGAAGAGGAAGAGCTTGTGAAAATGAAATTAAACATGCAGATGAACCCAGAGTAGTTCACAGTGTTTGTAAAGTCAAAGCTTAAGAAATTAATGATTAAATAACAGTGTGTTTTTTACCTAGTGTTCCAATTTTCACTTCAAGGATTATTCAAAAGTAAATTCCAAGTCACAATATAAAAACTTATGTAAGTAACTAAAGGAATATGAATGATGGAAAGAAGCATTTTATAAAGATTATGAAAAAAACACTTAGCTAAATTTAGAATCTTATATGGTCCCTTTAAATTTATAGTCTCTGAAATTGCTTTGCAAATATTAAATTTTAGCAATAACTTAATGACTTGGTGAATAAAATGTAACCACAGTGTTCTCTTAGTACTTAGTTATAACAGTTTTCCGAGATGAGCATTTAGAACAGTACTTAATCTTTACTAGTAATTTGCTAACATTCCACATTTACCAAAAACAATTTTAGATTATTACTTACTATAAAAGACACAAGAATAATGAGATTAACCACAAAGAAATGGAAATAAGACCAAAAGAAACAAGGGTAAAAAAAAAAATCAAATACATAAAACACAGATACAAATTATAATGTGACTGAGCGTCCAACTAGATTCCCTAAGCGGCCAGAATAAAAAGAAGTTTACTACTAGATATACCATATCTTGTGTGTATATGTATAAATCACATATACAGAAAAGAAATCACAAACATTAATGGCATGACTTTCACATTTGGCATCTATCCTAACTCTCAAGCTCCTGCCCAAATAGTGTCAACACCGTGAAAGTCAAGTAACAAGCCTACACTAACTAACTGGCATGTAGCAGACACTCACTAAAACGATGGTGAACTAATGACAAATGAATTGACTGACATCACATTTGAAGACATGCAGGTGCAATTTGCTCTTGACTTATTCTACGAGGTAAAAAATGTCAACTTAACTATAACCAAGAAAAAAAAAAAAAAACCCATGAAACAAGTTATCTGACATTCAATGAAAAAAGCCAACTTAAAATATATGGTACTAGTACAAAAAATCAACTAGATGAAGAATGATATTTCTTTATTTGCAAAGTAGAGGAACCTGCTGAACTAGACATATCAAAAGATGCTACCTGTATATTATAGTTAAATCTAATTTTCTTTAGGTTATTAAAAAGTTGAAAGGTGGGGCCGGCCCGGTGGTGCACTGCTACAGTGCGCTGCTTGGGAGCGCAGCGGCGCTCCCGCCAAGGGTTCGGATCCCACATACAGACCGGCCGCTCACTGGCTGAGCAAGGTACGGGAGCAACGCCGAGGGTTGCGATCCCGTTGCCGGTCCCGGTCCGGTACGGGCGTGACACTGAGGGTTGCGATCCGTTGCCGGTCACGAAAAAAGACAAAAAGGAAAAAAAAAAAAAAAAAAGTTGAAAGGTGCCATTGAGCTGGAATGCCGGTTTTCGATCTCTGTTCATCACCAAGTCAAAAAGAAGTTAATAACTGAATGTGAAGTAACCAGTAGAGTTAAAATTTCAAGACTTAAAAGAAATCTACATTAGTATTATATAGACTCATTTATTCGTATGCCTCCAGGTGCCTAGAAACCACTTTCAGAATCAGTGAAACTGACTGAGCACAATAAGGTATGATCCTGGCAGGCAATCTTTGAAGGGTTAGATGATATAGTAAAAGGATTACACAAAATGGCTTTTGGTCCTATAATGCACCTCAAATAGGTACTCTCAGCAGCACTCAAAGACAGAGGGACTCACAATACATATGGGTTCGCTGGAACTCCCCAAAATATGGCTAACCTTAAAGAACTTCCTCAACCCTGACCATCTGAGCTCAGAGAAGTAAACACCTGTAAATACAAACAGCTGTTTGCCTAAGCAGACAGGCAATGGTCCCCCACTCTCATCCCTTCCTTTTCATTACATCTTCCATAACATAATATAGGCTTATTCTCTCATGCCTAACTAGCCTAACCCTATCTAGATAGCAGGCTGGTCAGAGTTCCTCACTTGTTCTCACTGATGCAGGAACCCAGAAACTAAAACCAGGTCAATTCCTAACCTTGGACAGTTTTTCAAGACAATTATAAAAGTCAGATTTTGATAGAACGGCTCCATGGCTTCAAGAAGTCTACAGTGCTAAAACACCTTCATGTCTGCCACAGTGAGAGACTCACACTGGAATATTTTCTTTATGACCACAAGGACTCATTTAGTGTAAAAAGACCCAATCTCACCTTCTTCCTCAGAGACATTTTTTAAAAAGTAACTTTTTTTTTTTTAATAAATAGATTTGATAGTGCAAAAATCCTAACTTAAAGGCTATATTATTCTCCTAACAGAGTTTAGTGTTTTTATATTACAATACAATGTTTTATTTTAATGCATTATATATCACTAATTCAAAGGTAAGAAATTAAACTTTAAAAGCACCAAAATTAGAAACTATGGGTAACTTGGTTTAATGAGATGATTCTATAATTAGCACAATTTTCTTCTAAATAAATGATTTATTCTTTTGATTTTTACTTAAATGTATTTAAGTACAAAGATCCCTAATTAAAGTTTTCTGGAAGTCAAAAACATCAGAAAGATGTTCATAAGAGTTGGGCAGCATTCACTATTATTGAAATTGTTATTAAGAGAAGAGATAATTACACTCTTTATGTGTTCCATTTCAATAAATGTTTTTGCAGTTGAGTTGCTTTTCTTACCAATTTGTACAACAGCAACCAGAAGTTTTATTGTCAACCAAAGTATATGAAATCAATCAAACACAGAGGGCTTTTATAATGAGGGCAAAGGAGGTGGTAATAATAGGGTATTTATAAGTTATCTATTGTATATTTCCATTAAATTATAACACATAAGAGGTATAGTCAAAGCTCTGGCATTTTTAAGTTGCTTTAGATCTGGTTTGAGTGAATACCTCAAAACAAGGATAATGTTGGCTACTGAAGCCCATTTATTCAACCCTTCAGCAACTAACAATTGAGTAGATACTTTGTTCAAGATGTTGTCTTATGAAATACATATTTTCATACCTGCTTTGGATATTTCCAAGATGTATTGTTTCTGGGGGGATTCCCCAGGGACAAGCATATCTGCCTCCAGGAAGCCGTTTAAAATCAAATTGGCAGCATATTTTAGGATCAGGTCCACAAGTGTGAGGGATATCATAGCTGTAGAAGGGCATCATGTGGCAAAATATATCTGTGACAGATTCCAGATCTAAAATGAAGAGGCAACAAACAAACCTGCATTTAGAAAATATATTTTCCCCAAAATTGTCCAAAATGCTATTATTCTACAAATATTTAATGCAAGCTCAACCCTAAATTAACAGCCCCTGAAACTACCTGTACATATACACCAGCAGTTTGAAGGAAGACACTCATATTTCTCAGTCTCTACCTCTTCTATCTAAATATAGCACAGACAAAAAAAGCCCCATCATGAACCAGCAACCACTGACCTGAAAGGATACAGACTGAGCAGAAGTAAAAGTTACAACCAGCTCATCCAAAATCATGACCATGTCTACCCCTGGCTGCCAGCTCCTGCCACATCTGTTCCCGCCCCAGGTAACAGGACATACTGAGAGATACCACATTAGCTGCAGAGGCTGGGTAAGAAGAAGAGAGGAAAGAAGTAAAAAAAAGGAACTGGAAGAAGAAAGAAAGAAAGGTGGAGCAGGGGCTTATGAAAACACTGGACAAATTCCTATTCACTTCTTGCAGTGGACCACATTAGCTGCAGAGGCTGGGTAAGAAGAAGAGAGGAAAGAAGTAAAAAAAAGGAACTGGAAGAAGAAAGGAAGAAAGGTGGAGCAGGGGCTTATGAAAACACTGGACAAATTCCTATTCACTTCTTGCAGTGAGGAGAGTAGGCGCAACACAGCAGAGTCCATGGAGTCTCTCCCAATGTTTGCCCAGAATAAGCCAATAGGAATTTTCAACAAGAAAGGAACACAGAAAAAGAAAAAGTAGTTTTCAAAAACAAAAACAAACATAAAAACAAAGCAAACAAAAAAAGATATGGAAAACTAGCACCGATTTCTGACAGAGAATCGTTTTTAATTAAAATCACAATGTCAGCACAGGTTGCTACTACTACCCTGAAGAGGTCAGAAGCCTACCACCAAGTGAAACTGGGGGACTTAACTAACAGTTAAAAGTGGCTATCTTTGTGGGCTTTCAGTGCCTACCCCCCTTTATTTATGTATGGACTTCCAATTTTCAGCAGTGGGTATGTATTGCTTTCATAACAAAGAAAGAGAAAAGAGAAACAAAAAAGCAGCATTTGTACTTTTAAAAATGCAAATAACTACTTTATTAAGATCCAGAACACACAAACAAGCTCAACTTGAAAACATCTTTTAAAACGTAAAATGTTCAAATCTATTGGATAAGTCCTAAAATATTCTAGTTTTAGCCATTTAGTTAAAATAATTACCAGTTCTTTTCACAATTTTAAAACTATCAAAATCTATGTATTTCTGTGCTGTCGGCTGTTTCACTGAATCACATCCACAAGCATGACACCTTGGATTCTGGTCACTAATTCTTGCTATGTGCATACAAGTTATCAGGAGTCCGAGGAGTGATGGCAACGCCACCTCCTTTCTCCTGTTGATCAGGCCATACTCAACACCTCACTACTTCTTCTCACACCCTACTATTTAGCAGCTCAGTTATACACATTTAATTTTATCTGCTACATTTGGTTGTGTCTGTATTTTATCAAATTAGACTATAATTTCCTTATAGGCAAGGATGTTTTCTATATCTCTTCCTAGTACAGTACTAAATATGTAAAAATACTCAATAATTTCTTACTGACTGATATGTGTGGGCAATTTGAATACAGACAATAATTTAAGAAGGCCTTCTTCAAATTAATAATCTTTCATTTTCAAGTTAATATGCACCTTTGCATTTGCTCAAACTACACAGTGTGCAAGTTCTTATCCTCCCTACAAGTTTAATTTTCCAGGAAAAAAAAAATTATATAGCTAATTGCTTTCCTTATTGAAAAAACAGCAGTACATACAAGAAAGTTACTGTCTATATTTTCAAATATTTTTTCTGAAACACTTAAGGGGTCTGTCTAGATTATGCAGGAAAGCAAGTATGATGTACTATAGTAACTTCCCAACACTGTTTTAGCAATGAAATCCTTCTTTTAGATGAAATCTTACCAAGAACTCAGTGCCAGGGGATTAGGAGCCTGGGCTTCAGGAACTGCGCAAACTAGATTCAAATTTCAGCTCTGTACCTACTTCCTGTATGACTTTTGGCAAATGGTTTCACATATCTAAGCCTCTGGTTCTTTACCGTAAAAAAAAAAAAAGATAATAATAGAAACTAATTTAAAGGATAATTATAAAGATTAAACGAAAGAGTGGATATAAAGCAGATAATAATACATGGCACATAATAAGTACTTAATAAATAAAAAATAAAGTGTTCTAAGTTAAATAGGGTTTGGGGAAGGCAAAGTCCTCCCAAGAGGCCTAAATCCTGTCTCTTCTCCCCCAGTGAAGAACCGCAGAATTATGTCTTTGGAACACCTGGGTGCCCACAGAACAGTGTGGAAATCGGTGATAAGGGAATAGGAGGGCTGTTCTAAGAGGGCAGGATTAAGGCTTTAAAAGGCAAGTCTCACAAGATGCAGAGAAAAGAGAGACAGAGGAAGAAATACTGACTGAATACAAGACAAATGACTGAATATTGGTCTAAATATATGTTCAACTTTGTGCCTCTTAAAACATGTGCCTTTTAATGTAGAAGCAAGTGAAAACAACTCCTCATATTTATCTACTTCCTTTAGGCATAAAAAAGATTCCACAATGTTCCATAGATTGATGTTAATGCCTAAAAGAATCTTGACACAAATACATTGGAAAACTAAGAATGAATATCTTTAGGCAACCTGATTTTCAAGACTGCCACTCTGAATAAACCCCACAATGGCATGAGTTCATAACCCTTATGAAATAACATCTAGGTCAAATGGGTGATCTTCAACTTTCATCCAACCCTACATACCCCAATTCTGTCTCCAAAAAAACTCCAACGTTTTATGCAATGCAAAGTGTTTTTTAATTGCATAATGCACTCTCTGGATAAGCATGTGAGAAAATCCAGCACGTTTTAGAAGATAAGCCATTGTTGGTGAATGTCCAAAAGGATCAATAGCCCAACCGGACCGAGGCTTCACTCCTGTTGATAAAGAAAATAAGTGTTATTTTTTAAACTGATAAATGAAATAAAAAGAAGTCACAACACATTCAGCACCATCAGAGTTCTATGGCCTCCTGGGTAGTAAGACAAAGGATCTACACAGCATTACTCCTTGCCAAGTACTCTCAGTAGAACTCCCTTAAGGGAGGAAGGATTCAGTCACTGCCATGTCCACCAAGGCAGCAGAAGTCTCACTGAAATTAATCAGTTGTAGTTGAAATAAGCACTGTGCCATCCAATAACTAATATAAAGCCACTGCCATCCACTGGAAATAGAGAAAGAAATAGGATCAAGGCCCTGCCGTCAATGATCTCACAGTCCTGTCATCTGTGGAGTTGGATAACCCAGGAACTCACCATTATGTGATAAAGAAAAGTAACCTAACTCATTTCAATTTATATTCTCAATCCCAACACTAAAAATTTTCTAGTCTGTCTTTTATACCTTACAACAGCCCCAAATCATTAAACATTGGCAGAACTGACCAAAAAAACTATACCACATTTCATTAAATCTTAAGACATTTTGATGCTGACGGTTCTCTCTACCTAGAAAGGGGTCAATGAAATTTTCCACACCTGGCTCACACCAATTATAAGAGCCATCCACTAAACATATATCTCAATTTCACAGAGGATAAAATGTAAAAAAAAAAAAAAAAAAAAAAAAAAAAAGATAGTAAATGTACAGGTTAGAGTTAATAAGATATGATTATTCATCTAGCATTATGCAAATCTGATCTTTTAGTTATTCAGGATTCCCAAGTAAGGCTTCTGCTTACAACATATAAACAGACATAAGTAATACTGTGGTGTGCATTTTTTCAAACACTTGTTTAGCATCTTCCACATACCTAAGACTTTGAAAGGCCATAGGTTTACAAAAATGAGTTATTCCTGATCTGGACTCTAGCTACAGAGACTATCATTCAAATAGGTGTAATACAAAGTAACATAAAAGACAGCAGAGAGAACTCCATAGAACAATACTAAATATAGAGATGGGAAGCCAGCAAAGGAGACTGAGAAGGAAAGGTCAGGACCCACAGAGGACCAAGATTATGTAGTCAAAACTCAAAAAGAATACGTATCAAAATTCAAAGAATTGACCACATAAAATTTATGCATTTCACATATGTAATTTACTTCCAAAAGTTGTAAAAAAAAAATATTGAACTCTATTAAGTAATTTTGGTTTTTTTGTGGTGGTATGTATTTAAGAATTCTGAAACTCCCCATATTCTAAGACTGAGCAAACAAGGACAAGGGAGCTAAGTTTTTCACCATAAGAAAACTAACTACAAATATGAAAATGTGGGAGACTGTAATGTACCCAATGACATTAAATTGGAATAGGAGATATCAGTATTAGCTTATAACTTTAATATACAGATATAAAACACACACACACACACACACACACACACACACACACACACACACACACACACACACACCCTAGCTCTATCTACTGAGAGGGGTTAGAAGCAATGCTCCCTCAGGGCCAATAGCACAAAAGCTCAGAGCTGGAATTCTAAATACCATTTCCTATTCGAAGGAAGTAGGGCTTGAAGACATTCAAAGGTGTATCATAGTCGTAT